TGTGTGTGTGTGTGTGTGTGTGTGTGTGTGTGTGTGTGTGTGTGTGTGTTTCTGCGTGGGTGTGGGTGTTTGTGTGTGAATAAGTATCATTGAGCTGTGAGTGTCGTATGTTAAAACCCAGAATACGATGATTAGAATTTGTTATATACACCAAGGTATATAGGTAAGTGTAATGTATAAAAGTATTTACTTACTTAAGTAGTAACCTTCATTAGAGCCTCAGTCTCTTCATAATATAACTTATGTAGCCATTGAACTAGAGATCTTTTACAGTCATGCAAGTTCATGTAATAGATGTTTAAGATTTTATTTATACGGTTATATAAATGAGTTGATTGCTTTTTAAGTTGACGACTGGCAAATGTTGTTTTTACAATATGTCGGGGGACAACAAGGTATTATCTTCTTCTGTTCACGTTGTTAGGATCGTATGGAAGATGTTTATGTACTTTTACAATAGTCTGTGCTATGTACAGTTTTCTGACAGAAGGAAGCTTACTAATCGAGTATAGTTGGTCAGTTGGGAACCTATAGGATTTAAAGAACATTACTTTCAATAAAAACCGCTGAGCCAGTTCAATTTCTATACATTTTGTCTTTGCTGCCCCTCCCCACACAGAAATAGAGTAAGTGATCACAGACTGAGCCAGAGCGAGATAGATTTTAATTATTAACTCTTTTGTAGCTACATGTCTTAGAATTTTAAATGTCCATGTTAATTTCCGGATTCTATTAGCTACTTGCTCAATCTGCGCCTGCCAGGAAAGACGTTGGTCTATTATAACACCCAGATATTTAGTGGAGGATACCTTAACAATATGTGCACAGTCACAATTTTGCGCCGTGATTCTTCCACATCTTTGAACTTTTAGCCCAAAGTCGCTGCCTGCTGTGTACTACTGTACATCGAGAAACGTATGTAATTGGTTTTATGGGCGTTTAATGTAAGAAGGTTTGTCTCAAGCCAATCAGCGACACCAGCAAGCCCTCTCTCAGTCTCTTCACGTACCTCGTCTCATGA